CTCTGCTCTTATATTTGAAGTCTCGTTACAGTTTTGTTTCGTTGGGTTAAGTAAATGCATGCATTTTCTTTCATTTACAGCAAAAATTCTATACAAAACGAAGAAAAAAAATTGCTTTATAAAATTTACAGTTTATGTAAAAAAAATACAGACAGAATTTCTGCAGTACAGACTTTTTTTTGCAGAAGGACATCACTGCAAACAGGAAAAGCACCACAATTATAATAAAATAACAAAGTAATCTTCTATACTGCCCGGTCTTTTGCCACATGTTCTCATCCACATTATACTTGATATCTTCTGTGGCCCGGCACGGTAACTGTGGCCCTTTGGCCTATTATGTTTTTCCTACGGCGACATCCCCAGCCTTGTCAACATTGAAAATTTTATGTGGTACTTGATTGGCCTCTAACTTCATGACTCTCTGAAAGTAATTAGACACAGTGTATGCAAATGCTGTACTGTATGTACTAATGAACTCCAGGTTTAAAGAGTAGTTTACTGCAAAACACACTGTGTATAGTAACGTAATGACTGTAATGCATAATCTTACATGGACGTATTGGTGACAGAGTTCTTTGATGCGCTCACTGTTCCTTTCAAAAACCTCAAGAATCCTCTATTAGAACATATGATCATGTGATTGGAAAAACCAAAACAAGACATGAGTGTGCTTTCTAGATGGGAATCAGCTGTCATATATATATATATATATGAGAGACTCATATTGCGGTTATATATATATATATATATATATATAAATAAATAAAAAAATTTAAAAAAAAAAAAAAATATATATATATATATATATATATATATATATATATATATATATTTATTTATTTATTTATATAACCGCAATATGCTGTTTCTCATTGGCAATTGAATAAAATACAGGGAATAAACTTGTGTTTCAATTCAAAATTAGAACAGCTGTTCACTTTGACTTTATCCTATATAATTTCTGTTTAGAACATGATGTTATCTGTTCTGACATACTGTGTTAAAGCATTTGTAAATTTGACTGTAAAATTACATTGTTTTGTTCTTGGTTGTGCTTGTGTGTAAAAAAAGTTCAAGCATTTTAAATTTGTGTTAACTGGATGCATTTTGTGTCGAAACAAAAAGAAATTGTAAAAAACTGTAATGATAGACGATGCGCGCGCGTCTGCTTTAGTGAACAGAACCTGCATATGTTGCGAGTAACAGGTAATACAGTTGCAAATAATATTCAGTTTGTGGTACAGAGTGATTTTGGGAGCCCCGCGCGAAGTATGAACAAGCACTTAGCAGTCAAAATGAAACAGAAACTGTGCACTTCATTTAAATAATCATATCACTTTTTAAAGTTATGATTACAGCAAGCATTTAATATGTTTTTTCTTTCATAGCGAACCCACAGTTGTGCATGAAAATAAATGTTTACAATGTCAGTATAACTACTCTAGCCTATATATTGTTGAATATAATCTGATAATGGCAAATGTCTGATTTCACCAGTGAATAAAATTGTCTAATATGACAGATTGCAAGCATATATCTCAAACATAACAATTCAACATCAGAATTATTATAAGTAGAACAGAATTATTCATAGAAACCAGTAGACCTACACATAATATTATTATTGATGTTGTGCCATATGTTTGTTTTTACCATACCTTTATTTTACATCTACAGAATCGTGAGAAAATCGTGATCTTTGTACATATATTTATATATTGTAACATATACACCTGTAATAATGTTTATCTATCTGCACACTACTGATTATTAATAGCAACCTGCACATATATTCATATATTGTAAATCTGCTTATAGCTTATCCAACCTGTATATAATGTTCATAGTACATCCATCTGTAAATATCACCATTGTTTTTTTATAACTGCACTTTATAACTTATTCCTGTATCCTGCACTTGTTGCTGCTATTGCACTGCTGGTTAGACCTAAACTGCATTTCGTTGCATTGTACTTGTACATGTGTAATGACAATAAAGTTGAATCTAATCTAATCTAATCTTTATTTTAAGCAAAACAAATCGTGATTCTCATTTTAGCCAGAATCGTGCAGCTCTAATATATATGCAGTCAACTATGTTTCTATCATAAGTCTGAAATTTGTATTTTAGTCACACGTTTTCTTTAGGCTTTTTCGCTTCACACATGTCCACACACACACACTTTGCAGACATCTTAACACACAATTCCCATCTGACACTAAAAGAGGCCTCAATGACAAAATCCATGACACTTTTGAAACACATACCACGAGCGTCACAGCTCAGCGCTGTCATACGCGTTTGTGTGTGTGTGTGTGTGTGTGTGTGTGTGTGTTCAGCGCTGGACTGATGCAGAATATTAAACATGGCAAAACAAATCATATTTTAGCAGAGATGTGAGTCTGCAATTGCTGCATGACACAGACAATAAACAACCATTGCTTGTCATTGCTGCCTCCAGTTCACACACCAAACACTCTTTGACTAATGAATTACTGGAGATCACACATAAAACATTCACAATTTAAATTAGCTTAATAAATCACTTGCTGAGTCTAGTTTAAGGGGGAATAAATGAATCGTATAATGCAGTAGCTGTAAGGAATTGGTTCAATGTTGAATCGATCTAATGAATTGAGGAATCCAGAAAATGACTGATCCAATGAATTGGTTTCAAAAGTTCATTCAAATGAACTGGAAACATATCTAATTCTTGTAACGCTTACAAAACAAATCTGTTAAATGAACTCCTCTGTATATCCAATTTACAAAAGAAACGACTTCAATTCTTGTTATGAATTGGTCAAATCATGTTGAATCAGTGAAAGAATTACTTGTTGAATCCGATTCTCAATCAAATGACTCTTTTGATTCAGTTTTTGTTATGAAAAAAGATGACTCTTATGATATAATTATTGCCGTTAAGAGGTCAAAGAGAATCACAAACTAAAGCAGTCATGATTTACTACCACGCTGAATCTAATCCTCAAACAAACAATTCTTATAATTCAGTTCTTTTACTGAATTGGTCAAAAAGACAACGTTGAATAAGCCTAATTATTTATACAGATGAATCGGTTCATGAATTAGTCCAAAACAATCAATTAGGATGAATTATTATGCACCTGAAACCAGTTCTCCAACAACTGGCACTTTTGTTTCAGACAAATTTTAATTGAATCAGATTCACAAAAGAATGACTCTTGATGAATCAAAATTGTTGATGAAATGAATTGGTCAAAAGGAGTCAGATCTTGAATTCCTATAATTCTAGTGAATTAGTCATTGAATGAAGTTTGATTAAATTAATTAGACAAAATGAATCAGATCTTGAATGAATCAATTGAACACATCAGTCTAATGACTCAAATATTGAATCAAGTTTGATTATATGAATTGTTTAAAATGAATCAGATCTGGAATGATTCTATTGAACACTTTGGTCTTAAAAATTAGATATTGAAACAAATTAGATTAAATTAATTGGTCAAAATGAATCGAATCTTGAATCAATCTAATGAACACATCAGTCCAATGAATCAGATTTTGAATCAAGTTTGATGCAATGAATTGGTCAAAATGAATCAGATCTTGAAAATCAGTTCACTGGATAAGATTTTGAATCAAGTTTAATGAAATGAATTGGTCAAAATGAATCAGATCTGGAATGAATCTATTGAATTAGTCATTGAATCGAGTTTGATTAAATTAATTGGCCAAAACAAATCAGATCTTGAATGATTCTATTGAACACTTTGGTCTTGTAAATTGATATTGAATCAAATTAGATTAAAGGAATAGGTCAAAATGAATCGGATCTTGAATCAATCTAATGAACACCTCAGTCTAGTGAATTAGTCATTGAATCACAGTTATTGAAATGATTTGACAAAAAGAATCATATCTTGAATCAGTCTGATGAATTAGTCATTGAATCAAGTTTGATCAAATGAATTGGTCAAAAAGAATCAGATCTTGAATCAATTTTAATAACTAATGCTTGAATCACATATGATTAAAAGAATTGGTCAAAACAAATCAGATCTTGAATCAGTTTAATGAATTAGTAATTAAATCAATTTATTACAATTAATTAGTCAAAAAGAATCATATATTTGATCAGTCTAGTTGATTAGTTATTGAATCAAGTTTGATTAAATGAACTGGTCAAAACAAATCAGTTCTTGAATGATTCTACTGAACACATTGGTCTTTTAAATTAGATATTGAATCAAATTTGATTAAATGAATTTGTCATAAGGTATCAGATCTCGAATCAGTCTAATGAAATAGATATTGAATCCAGTTTAATGAAATGAATTGGTCAAAATGAATCGGATCTTGAATGAATCCATTGGAAGACATCAGTCCAATGAATCAGATATTGAATCAATTTTGATGAACTTAATTGATCAAAATGAATCAGATTAAGAATGATTCTATTGAACACTTTGGACTTATAAATTAGATATTGAATCAAATTAGATTAAAGGAATTGGTCAAAATGAATCAGATCTTGAATCAATTTAACGAACACCTCAGTCTAGTGAATTAGTCATTGAATCAAGTTTGATTAAATGAATTGGTCAAAATAAATCATATCTTGAATCAGTCTAGTGAATTGGTCATTGAATCAAGTTTGATTAAATGAATTGGTCAAAATGAATCATATCTTGAATCAGTCTAATGAATTGGTCATTGGATCAAGTTTGATTAAATGAAGTGGTCAAAAATGAATCAGATCTTGAATAAATCTATTGAACGATAGTGAATGAGCCACTGAATCAAGTTTGATCAAATGAATTGGTCACAAGGAATCAAATCTTGAATCAGTCTAATGAACACCTTATTCTAATTAATCACTGAATCAAGTTAACAAATAAAACACTCATTTGGCCTGATTCTTGTAACAATTCATTCCTAATCAAACAAATGATTCTGAATCAAATGATTAATATGTAATTAATAAATATAATGCACATTTGAATACACTCACCCTCTGTGTGGATGGCAGACACGTAGGTCCAGTTGTATCTCTTGACTATGTCCACCATGGCTCTGGCCTGCTGGGCGTCAGACGGCACGACCCTCATAAAGTATTTATACAGTGATTTATCGCTGAGGTCCATACTGGTGGCGGAGTACGCGATCTGAGGGATGTTAAACAGCTGCAGTAAATTCTGCACCTGGATGGCCACAGAGCTCGAACCCGGACCGATCAGCCCGACGATTGGCTTCTTGCCCTTCATAGGCGTGGCTCCAGGATCAGCACATTTAGCCCCGCCCCCAGCCTCCTCACTTTCATCAGCAGCCACAAGGGAGTCTCTTATGAACTCGATGCTTTGCTCTAGGGCGACGGCTGAGTGCCAGCAGGAGTCTCGAATTTCACACCCTAGGGTGACGTTGGGGAGGATTTTGGGGTCGGCGTTGATTCGGTCCAACGTATGCATCATGGCTTCAACACGCTGGATGCCGTACTGCTCTCTGACAGCGCCGCATTTGCGTTCATGCACCTTATCTGCAGGTGGTTGGTGGTGAACGGAGAAAAGAGCACCGATGATGATGTCCCCAGGAATATGGGCGACCACCCGTCGTTCGTTGGATTGGGCCGTCGACACAAGCGACGTCATCCGCCAAAGCAGCAATGCGAGAGAACACAAAATGACCATTGTGGAGTAAATTAGAGGGTCTGCTTGTGTTCCTGTCCTCCCCGGCTCACATCAGTGCCAGTCACGGGTGATGGCGATAGAGGCGTTTAGATGTTTCGCTCCTAAGTTTCCGTAAATCTGACTAGAGCAGAGGAACAATGCGGCTTTGAACTGCGCTGTCATTCGTCCGAGAGCTTCTATGGCGACCCTGAGCAGGATGCTGGGTCGTTGCCGTGGCAACCTGGAGATGGGGACGGCATGAGATGAGGGGCCTCATAACCTTGAACGAGAAGAGATGGACACAGTAATATTGTTAAACGCACTGATAACAAGCACACATAGGCTTCCTCACAATAAAAATGACCACCATAAAGTTTCAGTGTTGACTATAATTGGCAGCACAACTCAGTTCAGTCAGGATCCAGAGTAGGGCTGCATAGTGTATCGATAAGAGATTGAACATCTGCATTAGTCACATCACAGGATCTGCAATGTCAAATCAATACCAGGAGCCACACTCATGATTTAAGGGGTCATTGCAAAGTAAAAACAAAGATTTAACAAGTACACCCTTTGGATGGGTTTTTACACCTATGACAATAATTTAAAGCCCGTTTTAAATTATTTTTTACTTTAAAAGTGCTGTATGTACGTTTTTGCCTATTCTTAAGCAAATAAATACCATGAGAAAACGTAAGTACTTTACGTTTTGCAGTTTCGTGGCTCATTCGTACAGGTTCAGTTGTACGAAATTATACGATTTTAAGAAGGAGGTGTGGCACCTAATCCCACCCCTAAACCCAACTGTCATTGGGTGATGAGCAAATCGTACTAAATTGTACGAATTAGATCGTACGAATTCACACGAATTAGCCATTAAATTAAAAAGTTACGAATTGCTGTAAGATTGTGTTGATAAATACCATGGGCTCTATTTTGACGATCCATACGCAAAGTGCAAAGCGCAGGGTGCAAAAGCAATAAGAGCGTGTCGGAATCCACTTTTGCTATTTTAAGGATGGAAAAATCCGCTTTGCGCCGTGGCGCATGGTCTAAAATGGTTGAGCTTATTCTCTTAATGAGTTATAGGTGTGTTTTGAGAATAAACCAATCAGAGTCTCATCTCCCATTCCCTTTAAGAGCCAGTTGCGTCGCGCCATGGTGCATTTGCTATTTACATGACGGACTTTGTAAGTGGAAAAACTGAGCGTTTCACTAGCAAGTAAACAGTTAAACAGAGCATTTACAGGCAAGAATGAGAGATGAGCCTCCTCATTATTTACTTTCACTTTCACTTAGGGAAACTTGTACCCACAGACATCCATTAGCCTTTAAATAATTAATTTTGTTTGTTAAGTGCAAAGATTTGTCTCAAAACTATTTCTAAATTTAGTTCTAGTTTCCAGCAAACGAATAAATGAACAATAATAATGAAGTGTGTTCAAAAACCTGGTTATATCCTAATACACATGATAATTTGCGTATTGCTGTACATCTTGTGTGTATTAAGCAGTGCGTAAGCGAGGTGCACAACTAACGCGCTTTGCACTGGACTTCAGACGGGTTTGTTCGGGTCTATTGAACAATCTATTTTAGTTTCCTAAAATAGCAACGCGCCAGCAATGCGCCTCAACACTTCTCTTTTTTATAGACCAGACCGCCTATGGGCGCACATATGAGTGCAAATGCATTTGCTATTTAAACAGAGTGGTGCAAAATATCAAAATGACATTTGCGCCAAGCTGAAACTAGCAAACAACAATTGTGGCGCGCCTTGCGCCGGGTGTATGATAGGGCCCCATATGTTTGCAGATGTTTCAGAAACATGCTAAGTGAACATATCTATCTGAAAAACAATGCTGAATTCAGATATTCTGCTTTGAAAATGTGTTTTCGGTGCCGAAATGCTGTGCGTGTTTTGGTTCTTTAAACCCGCCCACTGCCACTTTAGCCAATTATATTACAGCACCCTTGGTTGCCTTCATGGAAAATCGCATATTTCATTCATTCAGACAGGAAGACTCTCTAAGCATGCGTCTGTGACTGAAATGCGACCTCCAGTGGACAGTAGCAGACTCCGAAATGAGACGCAGATTCAGATTTCAGAATTCAGAGCTGGTTATTAATTAGCAAGTAATATTTATTAATTATTAATAAATAAATAAATAATATTACATAATTATTAAAAAATAAGTTATTAATTAGCAAAAACATATTTGTATTACTTGCTAATTAATAACCAAGCGTAAACATTACTAATAATTCAGGGGGGTTTATTATTCTGACTTCAACTGTATATATATATATATATATATATATAAATAATTATTGTTATTTTATTTCTTTCTAATTTAAATTTTTGGGGTGAAGTAAACTCTCCCTAACAGTAAAATTTAGGAAGGAAACTACCTTACCCAGGTAAGAAGCTGATGCTGATACTGCACGGAAAGTTCCATCAATCAGTGAATTGTATTGAGCAAAACGTGTCAAAAAAAGATATTCAGCGCAACCCAACTCTATGAAGCACAGAGTAAAAAACACACTTCTAATTAAACCTTATGGAGTAATTTGAATAGTATTATAATTAGAGTTATTATTGCATTATAATCACCATTATTAATACAATTCAACATTGTTTAGCAGGAAAGCTATAAAACTCATGTGCCAAACAGACTGTTTTATGCACAATTTCACAATTAATAGAGCATGATGTTTCATAGAAAAATGCTATTGTCTTGTAATTAATTGTAAAAAAAATCTTGTTTGTAATTAATTGTAAAAAAAATTCAAACAATTTATGTATGAAAACTTCCTACACCAATGATAGGACTTATTTAGCGACTTATACATTACGAAGCATATTGCTCCCTTAAATTGTATTAGTTGAATCAAATTAATTATTAACTTGCATCAATCAAACTGATTAAAAACATTTGGCTTGACTTAGTATAACTTAAACATTTTAGTTAAAACCAGACTGACTTATTAAAACAGGTTAAAACATAAAAATATTAGTTGTCTTGGCTTTTTGTTAGTACATATTTTACAGTAACTTCAACTATACGCCATCCAATTTTGAAGTACAAACTCAATCAGTAGTTTACAACAAAATGTCCTCTAATAACCTTTACCTTCTTTGAATCATTTACAGTGTCTATGGTGGCAAGTTAATCTCTGAGCGATATGTTTACAGGTGCCTTTATGTTCTGCGTGTGAGTGTGTTTGGTCTGAAAGTGCAAAGGAAAAGACAACGTTGTTACAAGGCTGTCAGCGAAGATTCAAGAACAACCAAGAAAGCTTTCAGGCCCTACACACAAACAAAAACCACTTATATCGCCTGTCACACTCATTCACTCCGGGGGCTGGCCAAAAATGAGGTGACAATTCTTCCAAAACAATACTGAATGAGTATGCACTGTGCGGTTGTTTATAAATGAAGAACTGCCTCATTTAGCGGCGTCTAAGAGACAGTTTCACATGCCAAACCGCAGAGTGGTCCCTTAAAATATGCTCTAAAGGGGTCCATTAGAGAGCACTCTGTCAGGAGGAAAAATAAAAAGGCTGTCTTTGTTTCGAATAAGAAATTATGGGAATATCTGAATGGAAAACTAATACATGAAGCACCATTCGCAAAAAGGAAACAATGGGAGGGAAAACAAACTGCATCCTCGTCAATACCAGCCATTCGTATTGAAATCATGCTGGCATTTACTGCTCACTTCATTCAAATGAATGCAAATGTCAGGCTGATAGGGCAGAGAGCTGCACTCACAGACCGAACGGGACGGATGAGAGGGAACGACCTTGCCGTTGATAACCGGGAGCTTTGCGCTGTCCGCGGTGCTGAAACACTGCAGTGGCCGAACAACTCTCACATGCATCTTATAATGCCTTGCATTAAAAGCTCTGACAGGAAATGCATATCTAACATGCAAATAGCATTGTGTGGATACGAAATGCACATATTGCATTCCCCAATAAGTCATGCACATGCAACCGAATGCGCTCGCGCTCGGTCGATAATCTGCAGCGCGCTCCTCATTCCAGAACATCCTCGCTCCACAGATCCAAACTCGCGCGCAGAGACTCTATGTGTGTGTGCACAGGTTGCCTATGCTGATGTTCTGGTGACCGTCAAGTCTTACCTGCCCCGCGCTGCGATCCACTACGGTCACGGACGGCGCGTGCCTCCCACAGGTGTACCGTCGGAGATTTGGGGTCGGTATTCAAGTAAACGGCGGGGGCACAGGAGAGCCACAGATGTAGTGTCGTCTCGTCTCCCTGTCACGCACTAACACTGGCGACGCGTGATCATGCACTCACATACCAGTCCGCGACTCAACCCCTCCCACCCGTGAACCCCGAGATTGGCTGCTTCCAACCGGCCGCGGCACCTGCAAGCCTAGCTGCGTCTCTCCTCTAAACAGCATCCACTCACTGCTGCTACTGACTGCTTCACCAATGCACGCGCTAAAGTCAGATTTTAAAGCAAGTGATTCGTGCATTCTTTGTGAAAAACAATGATATTTTAGATATCTTTCTGGTACACTCAAAAATGCTGAGTTGTTTTAGTCCAACGTTGATTTATATGGACAAAATATGGACATTTGTTTACTTTGAATTCTACTTTTTATCCTGACGGATGTGTCTATATTTGACCCAAGGTTAAGCTAAAACAACCCAGCATTTATTTTGTTGAAAAGGAATTAATGAAGCTTGGGGGCAGTGCGCGTGCATGTGACTGACAATTCAGTCTCTCTCTCTTTTTTTTTTTTTTGTCTGTAAACACAAGATCTCTAAATTAAAAGAGACCCCACATCCATCCCTGCGGTACCCCACCACTAACAAACACAGAGCATGCAGCAGAAGACCACCACCATCTTGTGGCACTTCGCTGTTCCGGAAATTTAAATAACCCTTTAAAAAGGGATAATGTTTAATTAACTCAGCGGATTTAAGCTGGAAAGATCAGATATGGCCTAAATTATGAGCCATGTAAATGTATACGTGACGGCAAATTA